TGCACTGCCCATTGCCACTTCAGCTTGCTAATCCTATCACAGCCTGCTTATAAGCACCTGCTCACAAAGTCTCTATTAGTCTATTAGGAACTTATCTGTCAAATAAACGAATGATTGCTCTTCGGGACAGACTTAACCTTCACTGGTTGGGTTTTTATTGGCGGTCAAGCTGTAGATCCTGTCTACACAGGAGTTGCAGCGGTGGGAATGAGAGGTGGGAATAGTCCCGTGCTCTCCGGATCCGGATAGAGATATCTGCCAGAACCTTTCAGTTTGTGGAAATCCTTGGGAGAGACTTTTGTCCAGCAGTGGACGTCATTTAACTGAAATGTATGACCGAAGCGAAGGTCAAGCCCAGTTTGTAGTGGACGTCATTTAACTGAAATGTATGACCGAAGCGAAGGTCAAGCCCAGTTTGTAGAAATGGTGTGGTGACGCAGGCTAAAGTCTATCAATTTATAGAGGACAGCATTTCTTTCAAAAGTTATTTTATAGTCACTTCAAGTTTGTTTTTATAGAATTATGGCTTGCTAGCCTGTGGTCACTATGATTGATCACTGTGATCAGCCTAAATAAGTACTGTAGGTACTTATAAAAAGACTTAAAAGGTCGTCAGGTATAAATTATTTAGGTCTTCGACTCTTCGTTCAGCTCGATGACATCACGCCTATTGTTACTATTCGAAAATGAGGAAAATTTTGCTACGGTACATTTTACCGTTCAGTAATTGCACACGGTATTGTCTGAAAGATTTCTAACATGGATTTGAAATAATCTAACTTTAATTGAATTAATAAGCCTATTAACCGATTGAGTCCCAGACGGCATTAATTAATGTCATAACAATTGATTATCTATTGTGTCTAGATTCGCGGAGCTTGAAGGATTAAAGGACTATTATGGTAGGGATGTCAGCGCATCAACATACCGCTTTGGCATATGTTTCGTCAATATAGATTTTGAGTTAAAATTGCGATATTAAGGCTAGGTTGCAACTCCTTAACTTTCATCGCAACTATAACCGTAATATTAACAAAGTAAATTCTGTCAATTTCCATACAAAACACTATTTGTATGGAGATTGACAGAATTTAGACTTTCTTAAGTTAATGTAAGATGGTGCAACCCAGGGTTAAAGTTAAAAATTTAATAGGTCAACAACACTGTCAATCTAAAACAAAGTTAAATTCCATAAAACTGTACACATTTCAATGTTGTACAACTTTATTCCTCGTAAAATAATCACGTGCAGAGCTATTGACAGTGTATATGACAAGTGCAGTGAACCTTAGAAACTCACATGTCCATTCGACTAGTCTCTCAAGTAAAGGTTACCACCTGAAATAACATTCTTGAGAAAATATAAAGCTAAATCGAAAGTGATACTGATGTCGAGAATGATAATTTAAATCACTTTTCCCTAATGGGCAGTCCAGACACGTTCCAAATAAACGATGTCATTAATGTCAGTAAGGCAGCACTTACTGTGAATGGTTAAATATCCCTAAATAGAGGGGTTAAAATGAAACTTGATACTTTTGAGGAACTACGAAAAATCTACGCTACGTTTGCCTAGTAGATGTAGTCAACATTCGAGAACTCGCTTACTCCAAACTTTTTTTTGGTTCTCCGATAGATATGGTCCACCTGTTCGGACTGCTATGGTAGGATATACTTGATGAATCGATGAACCTAGGGCAACGGCTGGATGAAAGGCTGGAGATCGTGCTATATTGCGTTACTGCGTTACTTTAAGGAATCTCACGTTCAGCTGTGGATTACCATAAGTTGAAATAATGACGATGATACAAGGAAAACCAGTACTAACCCAAACAACAAATGTTACTCATTCCGCGATGTAAACGATGTGATGTAAGAAAAAACTATACACTTGAAAAACATTGAATCACCCGCGAAATGGGTCAGTGGGTTATTTAATTGTGACGACTAGGTAATGACGCCCCGCTCTGATTCGCTCCTATCAACAAAGCTTAATGGAACGTCAAATCGTTCGCTATTGTTATTTTTGTCTGTATTTAGGTAAATGTTTAAAAAGTAAAGAGGCAAGGCGTTTGTGTAAACTATTACTCTTAAGCTGCTTGTTTGTACAATTAATGATTCTTTGTCTATGCGTAATAAATACTTTTCTGTTTGTACGTACAGTTCTTAAATGTTAGTGAAAGTCATCCATCATTTATCTCTATCACTTGTGTTGTGTTATTTTTAATAATTGATCTACAGTGTACCAATTACGATGACGGAATTTTAAGATCGTTTCGCGTCCTTACTTATAAACATCTAATAAAGGTGTATTTTAACAGCGCGATCAAAATTTTTTTGACGACTATGATGCCATCAAAAGTTATTTTTTTAGATACAACGCGCTGGAAGATGATTTGCATACTAGACTTTACAGTTCAATTCAATTTACTGTCTAAATATTAAAATGAGATATTAAAACTGTTATTTTTGCTGCTTAGAATTTTTAATATAGGGTCTTTTGTCCAATGAAAGTAATCAATCGTTTTAGAAAACATTCAGCAAAAAAGTAAGCTTTAATTTACAGACCTGTCCTACCTAAAGAAGTAAAAGTGGAAACAGTTATAAAAATTAGGCACATTGATTTATTAATAGTTAGAAACGATACAGTCAATTTATAATCCTTTGAGAAACATTTAAACATTACATAAACAGTTTAGCAAATCGTCGTCGCGATTTTGTTGCGAGCGATGTCCGAATCTTGCGATTGTCAAATCGATTTGCATTCTCGTTTAAAAACAAAAATAAAGACGATGCTCGACGACAGTAGGTTTAATGGTACTTTGAATAAAGTTGAAACTGCTTTATCAGGGTCTGATGAAAGTGAAATAAGCGATGAAATCCAACCGAGTGTGACGTCTGTCGCCTTGGTCGCAGCCACTCACTTTAACTAAGCCTATACAAAGTTTGTGTCCTGAATCGCTGAGGTTTTCCATACAAAAAGTTTCGATTATGGCGTTTGATAAATGTAAAATTTTCCAGGTGTCCTTCAAGGGTCAACTCTTTGTCCAGTATTACTACTACTTTTTATAAGATACCATTATTTTTTTTATTTTCCTGTATTAATTTTCCTTAGCCGTTTTTCTTTTAGACTTTGCCTTCTAGAATTATCTCGATTTAGTCATTTGTACGTCATCCAGATCTTTGCTTAAATTGTGAATTTGAGATGAAGTATTTAACGAATATTTTTTTCCATTAAACAGGGTTTGAAAGTTAATTAGTATGATGAGAACATCAGATTTTCTCGGTCATACTCCTCGTACACTGAGAAGCCCTGTTGCTTCGGTCCACTTACCTAGCTCCTCTGGAATTCTTGCTAATTCACTTAACATACTAGCTGGCAAGAATTAACTATGTAAAAGCAATTCACAAGTTTACATTTAGCATATCGCGTAGAATCGGCCGTTTGGTTGAACTGCCTCTAATAATGTCAATCGTTTATTAGAAACAAGTTTGTAACTTTGCATTGGGGTTTCGTGATTTGCAAAAATGCAATATTTTGTGAAACACTGATATCTACATTTTGCATCAAATTAAATTTTGCTTGTTTAGCATAATTATTTGTTAATTTATATGAGACAAGATCCACTTGATTGAATAAGATTTAAAGGTCTTCTTTGTCATTGATCTTCTTCTCTATTTCAGGGTTGCTTTTATGCAAACCGTTCAACATTTTCATTAATCAGATGTATCTTTTCCAAACTTAACTCTAACCGTAAGAAGCTCTATTGATTTTCAAATTATTTATTTTATTTTGTTATTGTATCAAAATTTTACAGATTATTATTATTGTTGGATATCAAAATTTTCATCCTATTCTATTCTTAGACAGTTTTAAAAGGTATCTAAATATTTAACCAGTTGTGTTTATATTGTAACCTGGTTTAATCATTTTAGCTATGCATTCAATTGTAGTCTGTATTGTGTTGCTAAACAAATAAAAAATAACGAAACTTATTCTTGGAAAACTTCAGTTTCAGTCACTTACCGTCAAGAACATTCTTAACACTTGAATAATTTGTACGATTCTTGAACTCTTTGGAGGTAGCGTGTTCGCCCTTCGCCTCGACCTGTTCAAGGATCTTTGAGTTAGTATTTGTCACTATACTTGTTTTGAATTTGAAAGTGCCATTGTTTATTAGATATTTTGACTTTTGACCGGAATTAATGATCAGTCCGACAACGTTAAAAGTATCAGCGTTTGTTAAACTTGTAAATAAATAACGTTCTGCTCAAGGAACGTTATTTAATTAAAGAAGCCAATGACATTGACTATCAATACTAATTAAAAATGCGAAAGCGACTTGGTTCTGATAAGTTATAATGCTGTTTAAGGCTTAAGCACCCTAAGGCACTGAATCAATTTTCAATCATGAATTAAAGTTTGTATGGGAATAGGATATCTAATTTCTTAAGTAATAAGTGATATAAAACTCATCTTAGTTTCTAGTAATGGTGAGACATAAAGGGTTTTTAATCAGAATTCAGAGGACGTGGGAGAAGATGACAGGTTGGAATCCACACAGGCGAAGCCGCGGAGAAAAGTTAAGCTTGATAAATCTGTGGACCAATCATTCGAAATAATTAGGTACGCAGTAAAAACTGGCAGGTCAACCGGAAAGGTCAGGGAGGTCATTTACTCCGCTTACTTAAAAGGGCCCCAGCACAGCTGTTGTTTTAGAAATAATTACAATATAAGGTCAATGTACTGTTGATTAATTTAAAACAAAACAGGTTAGACCGAAACGTGTGCGATTAATTTTCTTTGATTGTGAAAATACGTGATTAGGCACTAAAAAACTACATTATTACTGAAGTTTTTATTTCATTGGGGGTCACTTTTGTTATTTATATTTTTTGTACCAAATAATTCCTCACTTAGCATATGCCGAGGCACAAAGTTCTTTTCAGCATTCAGTTTTCTATTATCATCATCACTAACTTTCATTCCTTTGTTCCAGAGGGACGACCGGTCCTTGCTGGCCCAGTTCTTCTACGCCGACGACGCTCTGAACATGGTCGCGGCGGAGTTGGACTCGTTCGACGGCCGCAAGGACCCCGAGAGGTGTTCCACCCTCGTGAACCAGCTTAGGCATGCGCAGGTAAATAATAACGAAGCATTTTCCATTGGATCTCTGACCAAGTTCCCTGGTAGGCCTCATTTTCCATTGGACACCCTGAACAGGTGTCCTGGTAGGCCTGCTTTCAAAAATCCGTACATCACAAGTATCCATTCTATGACGCTCACAACATGGTCGGCGCGGAGTTGGACTCGTTCGATGGCCGCAAGGACCCTGAGAGGTGTTCCACCCTCGTGTACCAACTTAGCGTTCCGTCTTTTTCCTTGGAAACCAAAACCTGAAAGGTTCAAAACCTGGAAGGTTTGACGCAATTCGTCCTATTGGCATTTGGTCACGCAGAAGCTAGTGGTCCTATTCGCAAATGATCAATCAAGCTCGAATAACCCTAAGCCCCCTTTTAAAAATGTCCCGGCTCTCAACCTGCTCCCAAAAAATCATTTAGCATGCGCACGTAAAATTAATAGATTCCTTTTCTATTGGCACTCTGGGCAAGTCCTAAAAGTTTCTTACGCTGGGCCTGCTTTATCTTGAGACACTCTGGGAAAGTGCCTTGGGCCTGCTCTCAAAAAACCATGCGCAGGTACAATTTACAGACACGCCCTTCTTTTCCATTTGGCATTCTATGCAAGTCCAGGGTTTCAGCCTGCTCCTAAAAACAATGACGCATAGTATCTTTTCTACGCCCTTGGTAAAAAAACAGTATGACCGCAATTTGTCCCATTCGCATTTTGTAGACGCAAGTGGTCCCACACTCGTAAATGGTAATGGTCACATTCAGATAACCTTCAAAAGTTTGACTTGGTAATGAAAAATGTGACCATCTGCGAACCACTTGCGTCTGTGGGACCAAATGCGAATGCGGGGACAACTGCGACAAATCACATCAAAGACTGATTTAAATTGCCAATATGTTTCAGCAAACATCTGATGAATTGTAGTATTGTAGAAGTAAATCTTATGGCGCAAATTCACTATGCGGGAAATTAGTCGAGACGTATAGTCTGCCGCACAATTTATAAACGCAGTAAGTACCACTTACTGCATTTATGATTGTTTTGAATATTCTGAATCCTGACATCGCGATCTATAAGAATCAAAGACCCGTTTTTTTCTATCTATCTTAGAACGGAAGATACATGTTATCATAAACGCAGTAAAGAGCAGATTGTAGGTTTCTTCACATACTATGTTAGCAGTAAGAGCACATAATAACTTAATATTACGTGAATACTCGCGCTTACTTAATTAGTTACACAGTAATAGTGCAGTATGTGCCAATTACATCATTCTTATTATGTTTCTACAATTGTTAAGTTCACCTTGCACATAGTATATGTGCAGTAATTCCACTTAAACACACACTGATATTATGTTTCCATAGGAAAAACAGATGACTTGTACTTAATATTAATGCAGTAATTACAATTATACTGCGTACATACTAAGGATTGTCGTCTTGTATCATCATGAAACTTGGCAATTATATGTAGATTAGAAATGGAAATACAATATTGTGGTACCAGCTGGTCTGATGATGGGATTGGAAGGTGGCCAAAAGAACTCCTAAACGAAACGGCAGAATCACATCGAGTTTGGGTTCATTGGATGTCTTTTCGAGATCTTTAAGTGCTAGATAATGTCCAGGGTCCTAATGATGGAGTCAGGAGGTAGCCATAGGAGGAACTCCTAAACGAAACGGCGGAAACTCATCGAGATTGGGTTCGTTGGACTTGTCTTTTCGAGCACTTTAATGCTAGATGATGTCCAGCCAGGGTCCTGATGATTTTTGGCTTTTTGGTGCTGTTAGTAATTAAAAGCGTGTTTTTAGTTTTTTAAACTATTCTTATTTGACATTAAGGGCATATTTCACAATCGCTTAGTTAGGACCTGTTTCGCCACTTCTGGATAAGTTGTGGATAGCCTGTCTGACGGATCATTTGACACATTTTTATAGAAAATACGTGCTAGCTAGATTGATCCGACACTTAGAAGAATGGTAATACTCCTCTTCAAAAAAGGTGACAAAACCTTGTTGAAGAATTATAGACCCATTTCGCTTCTGAGCCATGTCTACAAGCTGTTTTCGTTAGTCATTACGAATTGTCACGCTAGCAGGCTCGACGACTTTCAGCCCCCTGAACAAGCCGGTTTCCGAAAAGGCTTTAGTACCATATACCATAATAATATACTAATATACAACGGCAGATTATACGGAAGATCAAGGAGTATAATCAGCCACTTTGCGTTTGTGAACTATGAGAAAGCCTTCGATTCGTTTGAAACATGGGCAGTGCTTCAGTCTCTTTGGCTGTGCCAAATTAACTATTGATACATTAAAGTGTTGAAAGGCTTGTACAAACACGCCACAGTGACAGTCCGTTTTAAGATCAGGACCCGAAACCTATCCAGTTGCAGCGAGGGGTGAGACAGGGAGACGTCATCACCACCGCCCTGGAAGATGTTTTCAAGCTTCTGGGCTGGAGCGGATTCAACATAAAAATCAACGGCGAGTACATCACCCAGACAGCAGACGATATCGTAGTCATGGCTGAGATCGTGGAAGATCTAGGCACAATGCTCGATGACCTCAATAGAGTCTCTCAACAAGTGGGTCTCAAAATGAACATGGACAAGATTTAAAATCCGCTTTGAATCCGCTTGCAATCCGCTAGGGTGGCAAGGGCCTTAAAACTCAGAGGCACACTGATGTTCAAATACCGTAGCCGAGTCCTAAAGCCGCGGTACGCGTTCGCCACGAAAAGAGTGAGCAAGACAGCAATATCTCACTCACACGTTTCATGCCTTGTTTATAACGACTAGTCTTAACGTCCAGTTAATAAAACATCGAAACATTACAGATAATATCACATATAAACAACAAAATTAAAATTAAAACTAAATGCATTCTGTCGAGAACACTGAGAATATTCCCGGGAGCGTTCTAGGTTCTCGAGAATATTCTCACTGGGAATATTGCCGGGAACGAGAACTTTCTCAGCGGCACATCTCTAATCGTAACGCATGCACATCACTTGTTGGCGATGGCGATGGAGACTTTTTTACTTTTTATTGTATTTTTAAATATTTATTGCAATCTATTGTCTTTAAAATGTCTTTTTGACACTTGTAAAAAACTGAAAAATTCATCAAACACAAATCACGTTAAAAATAATACAAAAATGACTGAAGTGTATTCAAACAACGAATAATTTAATCAAAATGGTGCTTGGAGTGTCTGCAAGACGTCTTAGACGAAATGCTTGATGACGTACCCTTAGTGTTACACCAAATTAATGCTCTACTACCAGCAGGATGGTGCTCCCCCACAATAAGGACGTCAAGTGCGCGAATAATACGTTTGGTGAACAGTGTATTGGACGAGGGGTCCAGTAGCTTGGCCACCACGATCCTCGGACCTGACACCAATGGATTTTTGGAGTGACTTGAAACGACTGGTACAGCCAGAGCCAGGAGAAGGACATAGGATACTTTTTATCCCGTTCGAAATAAAAAAAAAGTCTGCTTATTTATTGCCATTAAGGCGGAACAAAGTTCGCCGGGTCAGCTAGTATAATATNTCTAAAATCTGAAAAAATCGATGACGTAATTTATGGACGGCCCCATATCAAAATAAACTTTGAGTTTAGCTCTATAAGCCCATATATTTTTTTTTACAAATATTTGCGTAACTAATTGTAGACACCCCAAAATAAAATTTCAACTTTGATCGCGTTTTTCTCGAAACTGTTCACGTGTTACTTACTGCGTTTATAAATTGTGCGGCAGTAGTGTAAACACGCACTTCACTTAATTTCGCCGTGAGTAGCCCATACTTCGGTGTAACTGCTCGCGCTTCGTCTTGGTCTATTTCTCGCATATTGTACCTACGGCTCGCATTGATGCGCTGACAAAGATATTATAGTTGGTAATGAAAAAGATACTCCTGAGAAACCAATCTGTTTGGGATTTTCATAAAAATATTAAGATCATCGCATTGAATGTTTATAAATAACACTGTGTGAATAAGACATGACACAAATCTACCAAAATAGAGAGTTGACGGTCTGAGTGATCATAATTTTATTACAAGCTTTATATTGACTTCACTTGTTAGTATTGATGTGCCGTTCCCGAGAACGCTCTCTCAGCTGAGAATATTCTCGGGAGCGTTCCCGGGAGCGTTCTCCTAAGTGAGAAAGGTTGAGAATCATGTTTATCTAATGGAAATAAATAAACTTTCTCAAGTAAAATAGTATTAAATTAAGTCAACAGATAAGTGTATATTAAACAATACACTCTATTTGCAGTGAGAGGCTATATTCTCAGTGTTCCCGAGAATATTCTCGGGAACTTTCTCGGCAATATTCTTGGCAACTGCACCTTTATTATATTTTATTTTTTTCGTCGTGAAATGTCGTTTTAATGATATGTAAGATGACAGAAATTTCTTTTTACACGTAATTAAATAATGTAACTGTCCATTTTCAACCGACTTCAAAAAAGGAGGAGGTTCTCAATTCAACCCGTATGTTTTTTTTTTCTATGTTTGTTACGCGATAACTCCGCCAATTATGAACCGATTTGAACAAATCTTTTTTCGGCGTATAGGTAATACCTCAAGGGTGGTCCCATTTAAATTTAATAATAGAAAAAACAACCCCCAAGGGTGGAAAATTGGGGATGAACTTTTTTATACCCAATATTTTCAATTTTTAGTTTTTTTTTGTGTTCACGCATTTGAAGTCGGTTTTATTTTTTTTTAAAGTTAATTATTTCGTTTTTAACACGCTGTTATTAGGTCGTCGTGTATGTAACTAACTATGTAATGGAATCTTAGAATCTGTATTACACGCACTTCTAAGTATTGTATCATCATGAAACTTGGCAATTATATGTAGATTAGAAATGACAATACAATATTGTGGTACCAGCTGGTCTGATGATGGGACTGGAAGGTGGCCAAAAGAACTCCTAAACGAAACGGCGGAATCACATCGAGTTTGGGTTCATTGGATGTCTTT